GCAGTGGTGCGATTCAAATACTTCCAACAACCGGTTCTCAAAACTGCTTAGAAAGTTAACAACCAGTTCTCCCAGATAGGTGCGAACTGGCTGAATCCCACCACTGCAACCATGCCACTAATTTAACAACTGCAGCGATTCACTGAATAACTGCAGCAAGAAAGGTCAAAAAAGGGGTCAAAACTCACTTCACACATGTCTTATTTAGCAAAGTGAAATGTTGGGCTCAATCGTGATCGTAACTCGATAAATACCTACGCTGGGGACAGATCACATTTCAGGGATATTCTGTGGTTGCATGATTGATAGGACACCTTTTCCCTATGTTGTGGCCTGCCAGTAGCCAGTGGAGCTGGCAGCAGATTCGGACAGTGAGGAGGTTGGGGAGGAACCTGGGCCAGTCCTGGAGTCTGGGAAAGGCTCTGATGAGGGCTCTGTGTCATAGGCAGAGAAGGGGCCAGGGCCATCTGACAGTTATCAGCTGCCTTTATAGTCAGACATCAATGAGGCAGACGAACAGCTGGATCCTGTTCCCAGTGTGCACATGCACAGAGTTGCCAGACGAAGGGAACAGCTAAAGAACAGGGGTTGACTTGGGGGTGAGGCCACAGGTGGACTGTGAATGGCCCCTCCCATAGGGAATAAAAGAGGAGCAAAAGGAGAGTGGAGTTTGCAGGAGACCATTAGTTCATTCCTGCATTCTTGCCAAGTATTGGAGCATCTGAAAGATATCGGCCTGGACACTCTCCAAGCCTGATAAAGGTCGGTAATTGTGAATTATCTTGAAAGACTGTGGGAGAGGAAAGACTTTCCTGGAGAGGAATTCACTGTCAATTAACTAAAAGGGGTTTTTGGGGAAAAGGACTTGGCTTCATGGTGCTGGGGAAGCCTAGATCAGAATACCCTACCAAGGAACTTTGGCCCAAACATAAGAGCTCAATCTTGCTTACCAATAGTACTTTTGAGCTCAATTATGGTCATAAGTTGAGGACTGCCTATACTGAGGTACAAGCCCCCTGTAATGCGTTCTCATACTATCACTAAGTAGCACCAAAAAAAATCAAGTCACGTAGAAGAGTTTGGGAAGGAAAGTCGCGTTGTAGACAGGAGCTCCCTGAAACAGTTCTGTTTTCCGTTGCATTTAATGACAACATCTACTTATGCTGACAAGGCTGTGTGGACAAAAACAGGAACAGACAGTTGTGATCGAGCGATTGGTGTGTGATGTGAGTAGAGTTAGAAGCATGGGGAGGGGGGGCATTTACTTGCAGCTTGCAGGTGGCGGGAGTGACAAGCCGAACAGACTTGTCAAAAGAAGTTAGCAAAGGCATGAAGCTAGGAGCTGAGCAACTAAAGCTAGAAAAATAAAACAAAACAGCAGCCAGCTAAAGCAATAACATCTGGAACCAGCACAACTACAGCAGCATTAAAGGCAGGAAAAGACCCGAGAAGAATGAATCAGCAGACCAGGTCTGAGTGAGCAGCAAAATGTCTTTGAAGAAGCTCATTGAGGAATTTGGCTCAGTGGGAAAGGGGCTGACACCACTAAAAAGGTCCTGTAGCAAACTACATGAGGAAGATTTGTAAAATATAAAGGTTTCCCCCATACAGTCATGTCTGACTCTAGGGGAGTGATGCTCATCTCCATTTCTTAATTATGGGAACCAGTGACATGCAGTCAGGGGAGGCAGGGCCTCACCACTGTCATGATGAAAAGAAAAACAAAACTAAAAAGAAAAAGGCAGAGGTAGTTGCTGCC